AGTGTTCCAATGTATTTGATATGAAAATATCTTCGATAAGAACACGTCTCAGATTGCGTCTCTTATCAAGTGCTCGGTACCGTGCCTGAGAAACATGAATGCCAAGTGAGTGATAGACCGCATGATCGGGATTGCCCACACTTATTAAAATAAAAAAATGCTAAAGAAAAAGAAAGAGCTAAAAAAAAAGAGTAGAAAACCTCAAGCATGAAAATACAAATATTCAAAAGCAAGGTTGCACACCTTGGGGGCTTATCTAGGGTATTGAGCCTTTATCCCCTTCTTCTTTAAACCTTTAGCCTAACCACATTACAACCCTTAAAAAGACCTTTTTGAGGTATACACACTTGTGCGAGGTTTGGCTAGAGCTACGTTCGGCCTGATTCCTAACGGATACGTAGGCAACCTCACATCGAGGTGTGGCCGTAATAAAAATGCATTCATATTCACATGCACACACTTACACTATGATCATATCAAGGGATCTCCAATGCTCATCCCTATTTACTTAGAGCTAGACTTGGGGGCTTGATCCCTATATCATTAGCTTACCTAGCCTAAGAGTCACCACCATTTGATTCTTCTAAAAATAATATCTTTCCACACACTTAGCTCTTGCGGCCTAACTTTAGTGTCACTTTCATACACTGCACAGATACATGACCAAATATACTTCCCTTAGGAACCCTTTGTCATGGAATCTTAACACAACGCTGAAGCATGCCTTGTCATATCAACATCACTCATCAATCATAATCATCATTGCATCACGAAGTATGAAGTGCTTAGCCTCCGTGCCTAAGTTACCCAAATACTTTCATCATAGAGTCAACCATTGAGATAGCCTAGGATGAATTAATCCTTGCACCTTGAGAGACAGTATCAAATGACATTTGACTAATCTCATTTAACATGCATCTTTAACACTTCGATTCTTTTTTTGCGTCTTTCTTTTTCGGGAGAAAGTCGGTACCCCCCTTAAAAATGACGGAAATTTTTGCTTTTTGCATTTTCGAGTCGCACGATCATATTACAATGCACACACGAGTCATGTACACATTGAGTCATGTCGTGTCATATCACTTTGATTTGAGTCTAACACACGTGTCATTTTACTTTGAGTCGAGTCAACCTCGAGTCAGTCAATCACAGCGAGTCAAGTTTATACCTTGAGTCGTGTCAAGTTATTGAGTCAAGCAATGCTAAACCTTAGGTCAACCCTAAGATAATTAAAGAAATTGGCAAATTTCTATAGTCAAAAATAAATACAGGTGCAGCAGAATAGGGAAGACCCTACTCCAATTCTTAGCGCCAGAGATATCTCAGCAACGACAGAGCTCGAAGCCTCTCAGAAAGGTGATTTCGACTTCATGCAGCAATTTCGGGTTCCTTGGTACGCCAGTTAGCCCCTATAAGCAATTTGACATGATTAGTAGTCGACTCGATTGCAATCGTAGTAAGTGATTGACCTGACAAAAAAATCGTCTCACTTAGCTTAAGCGCCTAAAACACTGCCTCATTACAATCGGTTCAAAAGCAAGCACTTAAATGACAATATTTCCAAATATGGATTGTCGCGCATTCTTATTAAACGACAAAGTTTTCCAAAAATTGGATTGTCATCCCCAACTGACAATATTTCCAAAAATGGATTGTCGTGCATCTTCTTCAAAGAAAATTTTTCCAAGATAGGATTGTCATCTCTGGCAAAGTTTCCAAGCGTGGATTGTCGTGCTCCTTCTTTGTTTGGCAATTTTTTCCAAGTTCGGATTGTCATCGCTGGCAAGTTTTCCGAAATTGGATTTTCATACACCCAGTTCCCTATAGCAAAATTTCCCAAAGGATTGTTGTAGGTTTCTATTCATCATAAATATCGGCAAAAGTTCCTCAACGTGGATTGTCATTCGTTTCAGTAAGTGGAAAATTTTTCCGAAGTGGATTGTCGGTCGACTCTTTTTTGCAAATGTTCCAAGACGCGGATTGTCAATTGTGGCAATATTTTCCTAAAAGGATTTTCGCATAGCGTTAGCAAATTTCCAAGGTGGATTGCTTTCAAGAGTTATATTCCAAGATGTGGATTGTTGATCGTAGCAAAGTTCTTATGAAAGATTGTTACGAAGCATTGGCAACTTTTCCAAAAATTGGATTTTGGCAAATTTTCCGAGGTACAGATTGTTGCTTCATCGTGACAACATTTCCAAGGATGGATTGTTACGTGGAATTGACAACTTTCCCTAAATCGGATTGTCATAAATCATACAAGAGTTGTATTGGCAACTATTCCCAAAGAAAAGAGGATTGTCATCACAGCAAAAGCACCGACATACTGGTTCACAAGCAGCAAAGTACCGACGTACTGGCATAGCAAACATTAAGAAGCAGTGATCTTTTCGAAGACTATCACAGCGGAAATTAGAGTCATATAAAAAAGAAGCTCTTTGTTTAGAGACGAGTGAACATCGAAACAGCAAGGTGGCGTTCCCTAGATTGTGGAGAGTTGTCACAAACAACTGAGGATTTTTTCAAGAGAAATAATCTTCGATAATATTCCCTTGGACGTGGAATATTATCAATGCGGATGAGGATTGTTTCAAGAGAAGCAATCTTTGATAATATTCCCTAGGATGTGGAATATTATCAATGCGGAGGAGGATAGTTTCAGGAGAAGCAATGTTCTAATTTGGAAGCAGGTACAGGCGTTGCGGTTTTCAAGCGGGATGGCATTCTCTAGCTTGCAGGAGGTCATCAAAACAATTGGTTACTTTCACAGACGTGTGCTCGACGGTGCAAGATACGCATTTCTTAACTATTCTATCTATTTAACTAACGCTAGTTTTGCAGATATCGGCGTTACAAGATTGATTTAGGATCGCAGAACGTTCTGAATCATTCTCCGTCCCTATCGATACTTTGACTTTTGTTTTCGAAACTTGCGTTTCTCCAAACTCAGTCAAAGTGGGGGCTTCTGTAGACACCCATTTGTGTCTCCCCAAACTCAAACCCAATGATGAGTACCTTTCACGTCGAATCATAATCGAATGAAACGAAAGTGTGGAAAGGTCTAGTGTTGCGGAAAGTTTTTATTTCTTTTCTCTTCTCTCTGTTTTTGAAAACTTTATTTTAAGAAAACAGCCAATCCGGTTTGGTTGGTCCATGATATGGGTTCAATAGTAGTGTAGTTGGATGGGGCTTGCAAAGACCTTTCCAACGATATATTATAAGCCCAATTCCGATGAATATTGAGGAAGTTATGGCCAATTTACCAAACTGGGCCCGGTTTGAGCTTTATGTACGGCCCAATGATCTAGGGGAGGGCCTAATGTGATTTATCATACCTAATGCAATTAGGAATGGTTTTGGTCTTCTAGAATTTTCTAGAAGGTTCTTTTCATTCCTAATTCAATTAGCATTGATAAGTTGACTTTGTTGACTTTTCAGAGTTTTAATCAAAATCAAATAGCATTTTCGAAGAAATTATATTATTTTATCCTCCAGTACGGGAAATTTATCAGATTTTCAAAAACGCGTTGAAATCCAGTTTGGCGCCCAACCCCAGGCATTGGCGCCTGGAACCAGGCTTGGCGCCAGGCGCTAGCCATTGGTGGTTGGCGCCAGCTAGCCAGGGTTGGCGCCAACCTTGTTTCGCGTGCGTCAGACTCTGTTTTGTTAAATTATCTTTTTTGGCTGATTTTCTCTATAAATATCGTATCAAAAACTCCGTTTTCATGCATCTACAATTTATGATCTACAATTCATCATCTACAATTCATGATCTACAATTCATCATCATTCATCATCTTTCATTCACGAATTCTCATCAATAATTAGTTTTAATTAGCTTTCATCAACAATCATTAATTCTTTAGCATTCTTTCATTCAATTCTTTCTTACTTTTTCATACAAAATTCTGCATTCACAAGATCTAGAAACACCTAGCCATATTCGAAGTTGCCTTCGCCCTAGACGTGAAAGGTTTAATTTCTGAGGGTTTGGTCCCAAATCTCTCTTTCAATTATTTGATTTAATTGCTTTGATTATTATTTTTTCCTTGAAGTTACAAACGTGTGTATTTTGTTATTAGAAATAGGTACGAGGCATCAAAGTAAGTACTTTAATGGTTTTAATTGATATTATGATGTAGACATCATGTTTATATTATTGTTATGATATTTCTAGTATCATGTCTAGGGTAATTTTAATATTAAATATGATTGTTACGATGATTCCTATGTTCTTCCTAATATTTATGATTGTTAGTATCATGTTAGGGTTAAAGCTTTGGTTTTTATTGTTCAGTGACATGCTAGGGTTTGTTATTAATCTTGTTAGTATCATGCCTAGGATCTTGCAATTATTATGCTTTAATATTAACATGAACATGATTATGATTATAATCGTTATAATTTATGATTATGAATATTATTATTATTATTATTATTTTGATGATAATTATTTTATTTATGATGATATTATTATTATATAATTATTATTCATGATATTGATTATTTATTGTGTTGCTTGATTATTTATATTTATTACTTGATCACGCCTTTTATCACTAGTAGAAAAAGGCTCATTTGCGTCGCCATATTTGCGTCACTCATTCTAAAAAACGAAGCAAATGTGTATTTTTACCCTCCTTTAAAGTTATTTGCGTCGCTTGTTATTAAAGAAGCGACGCAAAAAACAAGTGTATGTTAGCTTTCTATCATTTGCGTCGCTCTTATTTATTGAAGCGACGCAAATAATAAACTTATTTGCGTCACTCATTTACTGACAAGCGACGCAAATAAGGCAGTGAATAAATTGTGTCACTCTTTTAATAAATGAGCGACGCAAATAACAAATTTTCAGCATTTCAAATTTTGTTGTTTGCGTCGCATTTTTATTATAAAGTGACGCAAATAACTCTGTTGCACTTTAGGTTATTCATTCTGCGCTTTTTTGACCTTAGATTTTCACGCCTACCTTTCACTAATTCACTAAACATAAAGAAAAAAACAGAGTTGCAACAAATTCAACATCCAAAATCGACCCTTCAATCCAACAAATTCGCCCAAAAAACACCCACAAATTCGCTCAAAAAACTGCAATTCCCCAGCAAATTCAACATCCAAAATCGCAATCAAGTTCAACACCCATAATCGGCAGCAAATCCGAGCAATTTCGAGCAAAAATGTAGACCAAAAACCCTAATTAATTCGAATCCTTAAACCCCAGAAAAATTGATTATTTTCGACCAAAAATTCCCCCATTTCGAGCAAAAAATGTACTGAATTCCATACGAATTCGAACCCTAGAAACCCCAAAAAATTCAATTAAAAATCCTGCTGAAAAAATTCGAGCAATAACTGAAATTTTCGAGTGGAAAAATCGCTTAATTTCGCCCCCAAAAACCCGAGGAAGTTCAAGCAAATTACTGCAATGTTGACTTTTTGAATTTTCGAGTGGAAAAATCGCTTAATTTCGCCCCTAAAAATCGATTTCGGCTCGACATTGTTGAATTTTTTAAATCAATTTCACCTATGGTAAGATTTCTTCTATTTATGTTCAATCTTTTGATGGTAGATAGAATGTAGCATTTAACTTGAACAATGACTTAGTTTAATTTCAGATTTAGTGTTATTTCACTAATTAGAAATTATATGGCAGATTTAATTGAATTTTTATAAATTCAGTCATAATAATAATTATAATACACATAATAATAATTAAGAACACAATCACTAGGTCATCTGATAATGGAATACACATAATAATTCTTGGCTAATTGCATTGAAAATTGGAAATGTATGTACTTAAATTGACAGATAAATGCCAATAGGACAAAAAGGGCTCTTAAGAGAGATTTGGACATTTGGTAGTAGGAAGTAAAAAAATGTTTAATTTGGAGAATATTTGATGAACAAAACGTTGGAAAAAGGGGAGTAAATAATTTATCCTCAATGGTGTAAATTTTAGCATGACTGTTCTCTATAATGGATTTTAGCCTTTTTAGGGAATGTAGTATTGTAATAATTTTGAAATAACAATAAAGAGTTGTCTTTGAAATTCAAATTACTTTTGTCTCCCAAGTAGAAAGTGCAAAAACTGGGGAGTACTTAAAAATACCCTTTGAACATGTTTAAAAAAAAAAAAATTTATGTCCATTTTTAGCTCAATAGTGTTGCATATATCTCTGCATGGTTTATGTCCTTTGTAATTAATTTCATAGTCAGCTAGTTATATCTTTACATCTATTTCCTTTTAGTTAACATGTGTCTTAAGCTGCATGGGAGCTGATAATTTCTTCTCAATCTTTGCAGCTCTTATTGGTGGTGTTATTCTTGGACTAGCAAATCCTGTCCTTGGCTGTGCGGGTGATAGATACTACTTGTCAAAAGTGAGCACATGTTGTATATTCATAATCTCAGGTGAGTTAGGGTTGGTACTTTTTGTTCTGAAACTTCATGTTGTTTTGTTGATGGAGTTCTCTTGTTTCTGATTTTGTAGGCTTAACATTACGTAGTCAAGAAATTGGAGCAGCTACCAAAGCATGGCCTGTTGGGTTATTTGGCCTGGTATTTCTCTTGAATAACTAAGATATTGTGTAGGTGGTTGTCTCATTGGATTTTAGAGTTACATATCTCACTAAGTGTTAAAATCAAATTGATTGGTTATGCTTTCTTAGAACTTGCAAATTGCAAGGAGTTTTATTTATATTGGAGGGGTTAGGCAATCAGCTTCATTAGTAGCAGCTCATAGGAAGTTATTATTCCTGGATTTTTGCTAACTTAACAAATTACAAGTTGGATTATTTTTTGAATACAATTTGAAGCACAGTTGGATTTGGTTATGGAACACTTTCTTTCTAATACCCCCTTACATCTCCTTTTTTGCTCTATTATCTGCTTATTTAAATGTTGTTCAGTGATATATAGGAAATGCTTGTTAGAAATTGTCTAACTTCATGGATTAAAACGATTTACTTCATGGCAATGCGCTGACACTTAGCTAAGGTGACCTTCAATCAGTCATCAAGTTTAAAAAAACTATAAATCAATATTCCATCCATTAAACAACCACCTTGTTCAACCCTTAATTAAAAAAAAATTTCAAAATAACAACTAGCATTTATTTCACATGGCAGATTAAGTTGGACCTAGCATTTAACACTCGTTTCAGGTCTTCAAGTTTTACACCATGATTGGCTAATAAGCAATGGCGAATAACAACTTTTATGTCACATGGCAGATTAAGTTGAATCAACTATGTTGGTTTAATATATGTAATTTTTTATGGCAGATTCTTAATTATGCGGAAGTGAAATTCCACAAGTTGCTCGAGGTTCTGGTTGTGGACAAACGATTAAGGCGGTAGTACGCATACGAGATTTTCTTCACTTGTGGTATATATATCTGAACCATTCTTTGCAATATTAACTTATTTGTTCTGGTTGGTATAATGATTGTGAATTGTATGAGATTTTTAATTGTGATATAGTTGATTGGAATTGCAATAATACTTGCATCATTGGCTTAGATACCCGTTCAGGGCTTACTCATTAGGAGTAAGTCTTGAATAGTCCCCGGTTTGGGACTGTTCTTGAATGTTCTATCTCATTTAGGTGATAACTACTTGAATTGTTTTGGGTCTAAGAAGATCATGGCTCACTATTTCCCGATTGTTCTCTGGGTACATATGTTGATAGCCGATTATCTACATTGTGTGCTTGGAGAACTATAGGGAAATGCTGCCGGATTTTCTTTAGAACCAAACTTTACAAGTAGTTATTAGTGAGATAGGACATTCAATAATGGGTTAGGTTAGAGTGATAAGGACCTTATTGGATCATCCGGAGTTGCATTTACATGATATAAACTTTGAATGAAAATGTTTGATGCCTTATATTCTTGTTTATGGTTAAGGAGCTATATATGTTACAAAATATACACATTATCTTAAAATTAATTTTGTTATTCAGTGGTTGAAAATGGATCGAAGTTGGATGTATGGTAAACGAAATTGTACAAGTTTTTTACGAGGAATTGAAGAGTTTAGCACTGTTGCCTTAAAACACCAAACAGAGAATAAATCAAAGATTATTCTTTGTCCTTGTTGTGACTGTAATAATTCGAGGGGATATCGTGATATAGTTGATATTAAAGATCATCTAATTCATCGTGGGTTTAAAGAAAACTACACGAGGTGGACATGGCATGGTGAGAGCATATATATTGAGGCAAGTTCTAGTTATTGTCCAAGGGAAGATGAGAATCATTGTGATGATGATAATGAACACCAAGGTGAGGATATCGATACAACTGATGATATTGGTGTTGAAAGTGAGAGTGAAGTGCAGAAGGACAGGATAGATGAAATGATGCATGATGTTGAACACCATTTCACAGAGTGTCCCCAGACATATGATAGTATTTTGAGAGCTGCTGAAACCCCGTTATATCCTGGTTGTACAAAGTTCACGAAACTTGGTGCTATTATGAAGTTATTCAACTTAAAGGCGAGCAATTGTTGGACCGACAAGGGTTTTTACGCAGTTGTTAGAAGCCTTAGTAGAAATGTTTCCCGACGGGAATGAACTTCCAAACTCCACCTATGAGGCAAAGAAACTTATGTGCCCCTTGGGTATGGAGTATGAGAAGATACATGCTTGTCCCAATGACTGTGTGTTGTATCGAAATGAGTATGCTGATTTGCATGAGTGTCCAAGGTGTGGAGTTTCTCGTTACAAGATGAATGATACTGGTGAGATATGTAAGAAAGGGTCTCCGGCTAAGGTATTATGGTATCTTCCAATTATACCGAGATTTAGGAGACTCTTCTCGAATGAAAAAACTGCAAAATTATTGAGGTGGCATGCTGATGGGAGGAAGAAAGATGGGTTAATGAGGCATCCTGCTGATTCCCCGCAATGGAGGAACATTGATCGAAAGTTCAAGGAATTTGGTGAAGAAGATCGAAATCTTAGGCTTGGTCTTAGTACAGATGGAATGAACCCATTTGGGACACTAAGTACCCAATATAGCACCTGGCCGGTTCTTCTAACTATCTACAATTTGCCTCCTTGGTTATGCATGAAGTCTAGATACATTATGTTGTCCCTTCTAATATCTGGGCCTAAACAACCTGGAAATGACATTGATGTGTATCTAGCGCCTCTCATTGAAGATTTGAAATTGTTGTGGAATGAAGGTGTCCAAATGTTTGATGCATATAGTAAAACCAATTTCACTTTACGTGCCATGATTTTTTGTACGATAAATGACTTCCCAGCTTATGGGAATTTGTCGGGGTACACTGTGAAGGGAAGAACTCCTTGCCCCATTTGTGAAGATGATTTGGAGGCATAGCGCCTAGACAATTGTGGCAAGCATGTATACATGGATAATCGAAGACATCTTCCAGAAGACCACCCTTTTCGATTCAATAAGGATGCTTTTAATGGAAAAGTGGAGTTGAGAGAAGCTCGTGGCCCTTTTCGTGCAAGTGAGGTTTATCAGCGGGTCAAAGACATTGAGAATGAGTTTGGTAAGCCTTACAAAAGCAAATCAACTGGGGGTTACAAGAAGAAGTCTGAGCTATGGTCTCTTCCATATTGGAGACATTTGGAAGTTAGACATTGTCTAGATGTAATGCATATTGAGAAAAATATACGTGATGCCATTGTGGGAACTTTATTAAACATGCCAGGAAAGACAAAGTATGGAGTTAAAGTAAGAAAAGACATAGCTGCTATGGGTCGTTCAGAGTTGGCACCCGAATCTCGAGGAAAACGCTGGTATCTTCCCCCAGCTTGCTTTACCTTGTCTAAAAGGAAAAAACTAGCTTCTGTGAGTCATTGCATGGTTTAAAGGTCCCGGTTGGATTTTCTTCTAATTTTCGTAGACTTGTGTCAATGTCTGACTTGAAATTGGGTGGCATTAAATCTCATGATTGTCATGTGTTGATGCAACAATTATTACCAGTTGCCATTTCGAGGAATTTTTCCACCTCAAGTGAGGTATACAATTACAAGATTATGTGTCTTTTTTAACACTATCTGTAGCAAGGTCATAAATCCAAGTATTTTAGATGACTTGCAAGCTGATATACTTGAGACAATGTGTCGATTTGAAATGTATTTTCCCCCATCTTTTTTTGACGTGATGCCTCATTTGGTTATTCATCTTGTACGTAAAATTAAACTTTGTGGACCAGTGTGTATGAGATACATGTATCCTTTTGAACGAGAAATGGGTGATTTAAAGTGAAAAGTCATGAATCCGGCCAAACCTGAAGCTAGTATTGTACAACGAACAGTTGCTGAGGAAGTGGCAGCATGGGTTGCTCAATATCTTGCACGTTCACAGAAAATTGGGTTGCCAAAGTCTCGACACGATGGGAGGCTTGGAGGTCAAGGTACTATTGGTAGGAAAAGGATATCCATGGGCTTTGAAATGAAAAATAAGGCCGAGCTTTTTGTGTTGAAAAATCTTAGTGAGGTTCATCCTTACTTGGACGAGCACATGCTTTTTCTTAAAAATAAATATCCTTCCAAAAGTGATCTTCAGCTGATAAAGGAGCATAATTGTTCATTCGTTACATGGTTCAAGGAACGAGTGATGTCCCAACTATCCACCACACCTAACAATATATCTGACACATTGAGATGGTTGGCATATGGTGCTAAATGTCAAGTCATGTCATATGAGGGAACGACATCAATGGGTATTCTTTTTACACTAGCCGACAAGATGACAATTCAACAATGCAAAACAGTGGTGTTAAAGTAGTAGGTTTGTCATCTGAGTACGTTAGTGCACATGATAAAACACTTGTGGATAAGAAGAAATTTTATTATGGAATCATTGAAGAAATAATAGAGTTGGATTATGTTGATTTCAAGATTCCTCTATTTCGATGTAAGTGGGCTGATAGTAGCCGTGGTGTAAAAAAAGATGAACAAGGGAACTTGAACCTTGTAAATCTTGGTCGACGAGGGCATCTAGCTTATCCATTTATATTAGCTTCACAAGCAAAACAAGTTTTTTACATGGCTGACCCAGCTGATTGTAAGTGGTCAGTTGTTTTAGAAGGTAAAAGAAGGATACTTGGCATTGAAGATGTGGTGAACGAGGAAGAATATGATGAGCAATTTAATGAGTCACCACCTTCCGTTTGGAGCATCCCTCCAATAGTTGATGATTTTGACACAACGTTGAAACGAAAAGATCATAATGAAGGATTTTATGTCGCAAAAGAGAAGAATGAAGTAGGTATGAATTCTATGATTTTTTTTTCCCAATATGTGTTAGTAATTGCATAAATTGCTTATTATTGTTATGTGTTCAAGTTTATAATTTAAAAATGATACTAATCGATGTCTTAATTTATTCATGTCTTTTTTTTTCAGGTAAGTAATAATGGAGGATGAGGATATGCATAATCGTTCCATGTCTTTGCAAGGTGAGGAAGATGAGCCACACAATCAATCACAATCAGAGCAACAAACAACCGACTCTCAGTAGAAGAAAAAGAAGCCAAGAGGTCCTTCAAAGGGCCTAAAATCCATGCCTGGGGTTCCTAGAGTGCTTGAATGGGATGAATTGTGTCGACCCATTGGAAAGTGGGCAAAAGCATACAAAATTCATGTTGGTGAAATAATTCGTGCAAAGGTGTCTATATTGTATAAAGATTGGAATCAAGTTCCACAATGAATAAAAGACACTTTGTGGGAAGATGTTAAGGTAATATTCACTATTATATGTTAAATGTTATATTGTTATATGATCATTTTGACATTATTTGAATATGATGAAAACAATTTATTTGAATATGATGAAATTATTTACTAACTTTTTTATTTTTTTAATTTTTTTGTAGAGAGAGTTTCAAATCGAAGAAGATGAAGACAAGAAAAAAAAGGTCCTACGCACTTGTGAGAAAACTTGGAGAGATTTTAAAACAAAATTGGTCAGTGGTTGGATCACATGTACCAGGAATATGCCGAAGGAGAAAAGAATGTCGTATGTACTCTATGATTTCATATCTGAGGATATGTAGAAAACATTTGTGGAGGAGCATACTACAGATGATTTTAAGGTTTGTGTGTATTAATATCAATGATCATGCGGGTTATTAATACTTTGTTAACGGATTCTTATGTACTAATCTTCATTTATGCTCGTGAAAATAGGAAATCAGTGAGATGGCAAGACAAAGACAGTCTTTCAACGAATACCCTCACCATTTAGGAGCCAAATCATATGGTGAAATGAATATTGTATGGCGTAGAAAAGGGTATATTCCCACGGCATCTTCAGCATCCAGTACTTCATCTTGTTCTTCGGTTGTGTCTAGTTTGCCGGATAGGACATATGCTTGGCTTCTAGCAAGATCAATAGAAGATGATAAGGGAAATCCTTATTTGCCGGATGAGAAAACAAGAGAGGTGAAAGAATCCATTGTAAGTATGTAATAAGTCTTTATTTCAATTTTGAATATATTTTGTTATGTTTATGTATTGCAACCAAAGTTTTCTAACTTGAAGTCATTGTGTAGGATAATTGGAGAAAGCAACAAGCTGAAGGAAAATTTGTTCCTAATAGGCATGATGATATCTTATCTCGTGCCCTTGGGAAAAAAGATCGTACTGGTCGGGCAATAGCATTTGGCAGTGGAATCTGCATTAAAGCTGTATGGGGATCCGGAGAGAGGCGTAGTGGCCGACGGGGTAGGGAATTCGGAGATGATGAGCTGGAAGAATTAGAGGCAAGAGTAGCCCGGAGGGTACGAGAGGAGACTATGCAGGAGATGGATTCTAAAATGGATTCCATGGTTCAAGAGAAGTTTATGTTATTTGCTAAACAGATTGGTATTCAAATTCCAATTGAAATGATAGAAATGAATAACATAGGCCGGACGACTCAACAAAATCCTAGTAGTTGCCAATCAGTGGGTGATGATCCATTTGCAAACATACAGGTATCCAAAACTTTGTTATTTTATATTTTTATCTTTTTTTTAATGATTTATGACTGCGACATACTTTTAACTTTGTAACTCAGTTTTCTATATTTTTTAATTATGATTTTTTTCTATCTTTGTAAGGAATCGGTTCCTTGTCGTCTATCATTGTTGAAAAATGACTCTGAGAAAGTCATTGTAGCTGAAGGTACATATCATCCAGAGTTAATCCTTGATTATCATAGTAACCTCCTTCCGGATCACGTGAGGGTGAGTGTTGATGATTTTTTTGACAAGTTCAAAGAATTCTCGGTTCCAGTTCCTTCTTCAGTCATCAAGAAACTTAAGCATGCTCGCGGTACATTTACCCAATGGTCGAAAGACTTGGTTTCACTCATGCATGACAAGGTAAATTATTTTTGTAACAATTTACATATAGTTTGCCATACAAAATATAGCAAATTGTTGAATAGATTTGCTTTACCATTGATTAGGAATTCATATCAAATAAGAATAATGGTAACAACAAAGCGACCAAAGAAAACATGCAAGACAAACTGAAAGTAGTTGAAAGTGGTCACGAAATAAAAGAGTCCAACACCAATCCAAAAAAAGTTTTTCTTATGGATTATGCTTTGGAAAACTTGTCTCAGAAGTTTGGGTCTTTGAATAGTTTGTTATCTTCATTACCCGAAGGAGAAACTATTAAGGTTAAGGCTGATGCTTGGACCTTTAGTTATGAAGACAATAAGGACATCATTATCAAACGTGAAGATGTCAATCAACTTCTCACAGGAGCTTGGCTGAATATTTCAGTTTTGCAAGTTTTTATGATGTAAGATATTCAAATTTCACTCTTCCCATATACTTATTTATTACCATTTATAATGTTATTACATGATATATATGTAGGGCCTTGAGTGACTTACTCGATACGGAGGAAGTGGCTTCCATTGGATTCATGTGTCCGGAAATGATTTCAGAAACCTATTTGCATAGTGATGCTGATCGTATCCTACTATACATGACACATGTGATGGAAAAACAAAAATCTAAGCATTTCATCTTATGCCCATACCATGAAAAGTATAAACTTTGAACTTGTATTTATTTGAAATTTGCAAATTGTTGATATTATTTTACTCTTTTACAAATGTGTGTCTAATTTATTATGTAGGAATCATTGGGTTCTTTTGGTCTTATGCATGGCTAAGCGTGAAGTCATCATCTTTGATTCTTTGAGGCAGAAGTGAAATTTAGCAATTAAGTTTGCAATGACAAAGTAAGTCTAGTTTGTTATTAATGTCATGATTTTATGTGTGTAAGGGTAATATATATGTTATTTGTTTCAATTGTGTAGTGATTTTCGAAGTTTTAAGGCATTAAGTGGACAATTTAGGGGAAGTAAATTGACATGGCATTTGGGACAGGTTACCTTAATTTCTTACCCTAACTTTTAGTTTCTTAATAATTGAAGTATAGCAATTTAATTCAACTTACAAATATATTACATGTAGTGTCCTCAACAATTGGGTGGACGTGAGTGTGGCTACTACGTCATGCGTTATATGTACGAAATACTTGAACATCACCATAGCAGTGAAGATCTTATTCAGGTATGACTTGTCAAATATTTCATTTTTGTTTGATAAATACAATTTGATGTTAGCTACAATCTTGAATTAAAACTTTCCTCTTGTATATTTGTTGTGTTGATAGGATTTTTCAAGAACTACACCTTACACCGAGGAGGAGATAAATGAGATCCGAGATATTTGGGCAGAGTATTTTATACGTAATGTTGAACTTTAGATTTACCACTTAGCGCATGTTTGACTCTTGTTTTGGATTATAGGCTTGAAATGAAGTAATTTGGTTAATTGGTGTTGGGATGATGAGTATATTGTCTATGATATTGAGGTGTAAATTATTGGACAGGTTGTTAATATAATGTCGTCATTCCCAATTTTATGGGTAGGCCAAATTACAAAGGAGAATCTGCCGAAATTTACATTTGCATTTCAATAATATTGCATTTTAATTTCAATTATATTAGCGTTAGCATATTACTTTATACCACTAGTAAGGAAAACAGGTACTACAAACATATACAAGGCAATTATTATATTATAATTAAAAAAAAAAAAAATTCACCTCATTTGCGTCACTCATTAAACAAACAAGTGACGCAAATACAACAGTTTTGTATTGTCTACTCAGTCATTTGCGTCACTCCTATATAAACAAGTGACGCAAATAACAAAAAATAAGTATATCAGAAAAGTCATTTGCGTCGCTCTTTTATAAAGAAGTGACGCAAATAACAAAAAATAAGTTTATCTGAAGAGTCATTTGCGTCGCTTGTTTATAAAGGAGCGACGCAAATGACAAAAACTAAGTTTATCAGAAGAGTCATTTGCGTCGCTTGTTTATAAAGGAGCGACGCAAATGACAAAAAATAAGTTTATCAGAAAAGTCATTTGCGTCGCTTGTTTATAAAGAAGCGACGCAAATGACAAAAAATAAGTTTATCAGAAAAGTCATTTGCGTCTCTTGTTTATAAAGAAGCGACGCAAATGACTCTTATTTGTGTCGCGCCTAGAAGCGACGCAAATGACTTAAAAGTCATTTGCGTCGTGAGCAGTTGCGTTGCTCATAGAAGCGACGCAAATACACTATAAATGAGCGACGCAAATAAGCCTTTATGCATGGTTAAAGGGAATTTGGTACTTGTAATCACGCTTAATAAGATAATTAATAATCTTGTTTAGGGTTAATGTGATTATAATTCAAGTGATCGCCAATAATAGTTTATTTGTGCATTAATATTCAACCAACATAGATTAAACAGGTTTAGGGTTAACCTATTGATTGCATGTTAATTAGAAAGCGTACATGAATACGATCAGAATAAAGTAGAGGCCTATTATTAGGGCAGGTTCAATCTCTTTTAGGTTGGATTTGTACCATCATCCCCGAACCCTTATTTGGTTCTAGACCTTATGGATTTGACGATCTCTTGGATCGTTAAGGGGTGTAACCTTCACCTCGTGAACGGTTTACAAGTTCCTTAAAAACTTGTTGGCGACTCTTTTGCTCTATCTTCTTCCCTTTTGGACGCCACCATACTTTAGTGTATGATCATAGTGGGGTTCAAGGTAGTGGGATTTTAAGGCTTGAAATTATTCCCTACAGTTTTTGGCGACTCCACTGGGGAGGATTTCTATTTTAATTCCTAAATTTGTTTCGGCAATGATTTAGAATGAGTGGATGAGACTCGAAAAGTTCTAAGTATTTCATGTGCGTAATTTTGATTAACATTATTGTCATTTGCATAAAAAAGATCTCATTGGAAAAACCATCCGTAATGAGTTAAAAACATCGGATTTTACACGTAGGAAATTTGAGAAACGTCTTTCACAACTAGGACCGAAATAACACCGCGCGAAACTGGAAAATTTTATCGAGCACAGAAAGCCGCTGAGGCATGTGGAAAGTAGCGTTAGGGGCCAGAGCTTGGCGCCAGCATTTTAGTTGTAGCGCCAGACGCCAGTATTGGCGCCAGGCACTACAGTTAAAAGCTGGCGCCAGTCTCTGTTTGCTGGCGCCAATTTCCCCCAATACCGAGCCAGAAATATGCGTTCTTATTTTGACCGGTTTTCGTATTGTTTGCTCGATCCTACTTCCTGATTGAATTTTTTCTTACTTTTCTGAAACCCGTATGTGTTCTACATAAGGGCATAACCCTCTAGGAATTCATGCTCCATCTACCTGATTGAACGCTCCGTGCAACAAAGGGTACATCCGAGATGTTGAATTCACCAAACCATGGAAGCGAGTTTTTTCTAGAACTCGCGGTGTCCCATCCACTCGCGCCAACCCTTCACGGTTAGGCTTCCGCGCGGTGCATCCGGACAATTAACCATGGACCCTCTTTGACTAAACCATATCCCGAGTTTTAGAGAACTAGAGCCATGGTTAGGTTGCAAACTCATTGCATCATATTGTGCCTACTTGACTAATTGTGCATTATTTGTTGCGCATATATATTCTATGTTTCTCTTAACCGTTTGTTGATTTGTGTTGAGAATAAATAAATTAATGACTTAAAGAACTTTGCCTAATTAATTAATTAATTGATTAATTTGAGTCAATAAAGTCTAATTTTTCAATCGGAATTGACCTAGTACGACTTTAGGCATACCGCAGTTGACTAATAATACCGAAAACAGTCCCAGACCGAAGCTCCACTATTGGCGCCAAGGTCTGAGCTATAGTGCCACACTATGGAGTGTAGCGCCTGACGACAGCTATGTTGTCTGGCGCCAAGCTCCATAGTGTGACGCCAGTCCTGTCGCTTGGCCGAAAGTTCGAATTATTGGTCAAGTCATCACCTAGGGTCTAATTAACCAGTTTGCTAATTAATTCGGTTAATTCTCGCTGTCAATAACACCTTGTCAAGTCATATAATCGAGTCTTGGTCACATAGTCTAGCCCCATGGTCATGACACGAGTCTCAACATGTCACATACACTCACTAGTCTTAGCACAAACTTTGAGTATATGTCACCATGACCTTGTCTTAGGTTCATGCATGAGTTGGTCTTTTTCGTCATTTGAGTTGGGGGGTACATTCTATTCCTAATTCTTCATATCCCTCCACCTCCATCATCTTATTCATCTTCACATTCCATTCCATTTTTTCTTCACTTCCTCCATCCATTGCATGTTGAATAAAGTTTGAGTCAAATAATTAACAATAAGTATCCCCAAATTCCTTTTCCACAGTACTTGGTCGAGGAGAGAAGGGCGATTAATCAAGGACAACCTCTTTATTCAAGTCTCGTTTTTTGATAAACCGATTCGCCAAAGGGGGAAGGCTAAGAAGATAATGGCAACTCAAGAAGAAGGCAATGATCTTAAGAACCAATTGGCTACTGTGGCTGAGACACTGAAACTTCTCGCACTTAGGGTCGATGACCCCGTAAAGCAACAACAGATGAACCTCATGCAAGAGAGTCTCAGCAAGCTATCTAGTGACTATAAATTCCAGGGCATGAGTTCACAAGGGGTCTCGCTGGACAAGGAACTTCTTCCACATAAGTTCAACGCACCTGACATCCCAAAATTCAAGGCAACAGATAACCCTTACTTCCATTTAAGAGCTTTCGAAACAATAATGAACATTAATGGTATCGATAAGAAGGTTTTTCCCTCTCTATTCCCACTATCTCTTGAAACCGTTTGCCAACAATGGTTTTTCTCCCTTGACAAGGAAAAAACCTCTACTTGGGAATCAATAGTGAACGCTTTCTTTGATAGGTACAAGTGCAATATCCAAGTTGAAACCGACCATAGACAACTTGAGATGCTAAGACAAAAAGAGAATGAAGGCTTTACTTCTCTCTTTAATAAGTGGAGGGAAACTTCCGCCAAGAAGATTGAGGTCCCCACTGAAAAAGAATCCGTGAGGATTGATTAGGGGATTTTTCCCCACCAATCACCATCTGACAAGTGGACCAATCAGGTTCCGCCATGTGTCCGTCACATGGGCCAATAGGAGCCTGCCACGTGTCAAGCAATGATCCGTCCACTATGGACCAATTACGACACGACACGTGTCCTTCCATTGACACCTGGGATAACCGGTCACCTAGGCCCAACTTCCGAGGGAAGCCCAATCAGCCCAAGGTTAACCTAAACCTAGATTGACACGTTTCCCGAGGTTATAAATACCTCCCTTAATCCTCATTAAGGGAGATTACACGCTAAAAACGCAGATTACACACATTAAACACTCTCACCTAGAGAGACCCAATCACTTTAATTTCCGCATTAA